CCCCCCACCCTGAGCCGTGAAGGTGACCGCAGGGAGACGCTAAACATGCTTGCTGAAAATCAAAGAAACCTCCCGCCCATTTCATCAAATGTTTCAGAGCAAGCTGCACTTTATGTAAATACCACAGCCTCATTCCATGAACATATGTTTTTTATTTTGACATTTCTATGCCTCCTCTAAAGATGCTCATCTTTGTGTTTTTCTATAAGTGTTTTAAACTTCTGTTTATTGAATATGCATCTTGAGCCAGTGTCTTAGGAAAACTGATAATGCATCCTTACACAGTGTCCCCACCACTCTCAGTGAGCTATGGCATCTCAGCCACTAAAGATACACATCTGGTGTGTGCACTAAGGAAGATCTCATTCAACCAGCTAAATATATTAGTAAATGCCAAACACTTCAACTATAACTTCCTAGCCAATAATAAACCTAAGCAGTCCTTTGCAACTGTAGTATTGCAAAGATAAATGTGACTAAACGCATCTCCGATAAGTATCAGATCGAAGCTTTGGGTATTTATCGAGTATTGCTCAATCTCTATGAGGTATTAGGATATTATAATGACGCTGACAAAAAGAACAGCTGTACAGCAGAAAGCGTATTGATCACTCAGTTTTAGAAAACTAGGCTGGGAGGAGGGGAAGACATGAAGAAGTTTACTTTAGCTGTCATATATAATCAGCTTTTTTTTTTTTTTTTTTTTTTATGGAATAAAACCAACTTATAAAATCAATCGATTGATTGATTGATTCATTCATTAATTCATTCATCCCATTTTCAAAATTAATAACAAAACCCTAGGACTAAAAGAAAAAAAAAGAAAAATATTGGTGTTAACTGCAGTTTATCATGAGAACCATTATTTGATTAAATCAATACAAGAAGGTTCAGAATAAAAAAATGATGATGTAACTGATCCCAAAAAACTGATTAGTTCATCTTTAGGTTTAAATATAACACTATTGCACGATGAGTTCAGGTCACCCCAACTGTGTGGCAAATCCAAACATTTCCTTTGTGAAACAAACCTAAAAAGCTATTTTTAAATCATCTATTCTGTAAGAATCAACTAAGAAAGCTTGTGATCTCAAATCAGAAAAAGCAGGAACTAATATCCAAGACGTATGCAAAAATAAACTATTGAATTTAAAATAAAGCAAAGCTGAATTGATCGGAGAGGCAAATACAAGATGTTTATACATTTTCAAAATTGCTGAAGTAAATGCTATCATATTTATGTAGGTTGTTTTTCTGTTTATTTTTTTTTCTAGGTCAACTTTATCCTATTTAAAGCTGTACGCCGTCGCCTATTCTACTGAAACACTGACAGCTTCTTAAACTCAAAGTAAAAGTTACGGTTATCTAGCACTTTCATAATGTGCCTGTCTCACTGTCCACTAGTAGAAACCTTGCAGGATGAACTAGACAGGGAAAAAAATACTCATTTGGCAACAAAGAGATACAACCTCACATTATACGCAACACCTTAAAGTTCCACAGGAAACATATATTTGACTTTTAACTGCTTTTATACAGCTACAATGTTAACAGATACATTAGCTGCTGTCTACAGGCGAGTTCAGCCCAGGAACAAATACCTCTATTGTTAATATTTTTATCCCAAAAATTTAAATTACGCATTCCTTTATTTCTTCTTTATTGTTAGGTATATTTTACAAATTATAGACACTAGGGCTGAAACAATTAATCAGATTATTTGTGATTAATTAAAATAATCGTCAACTGTTTAGTGATTAATCGTTAACTGAAGTATAGAGACATGCCTTTAGACAACAGTGACCCAAGTAAAGCAGTAATTATTACAAAATAAAAAAAAAACAACTATATTTTACATTTAAGATTTTAAAAAAACTTTGTCTAAAAATATGCTCCACTTCAGAACTACAAAAGTGGAAAAGTTTTAGCTTGTTTAATTTTGTTAAAAAAAACTATCTTCTTTATCCCATTTCTATTTAAGTTATTTCCATCGAATGTTTAAGAGAGATTTATTAGATACGTTTCAATATATATTATCTGATTAATGTTTGGACAGCTCAGTCCATGATGGAATGACCTCAGGAGACCTCTTGCACAGAGACATCATTTACTGGACTCACAATTAGGGATGCATGATCTTATAGCCAAGTGATCTGCATCAGCTGATATTAGCTTTAAAACAAAAAAAAAATCAGACATCAGCGATTAAAACAATATAACTTGCCATTATTAAAGGAACTTTTTTAGTGATAAAGTGCAGATCATGCCTGCAGGGCCAGTGGGTTACATGCAACCATCTAAAGCCTATGCCTGCCTTTCATATAGTTTATTACCATAGGTCATAAACTGTCTGCAATTAATTAAGCAACGCAAGCTTCTTTCAAGCTAAACATAAGCAAACAATGTTATTCTAACCAAAAATAAAAACAACCTCAAAACACCGGATGAACTGATTGCTACCCGTTTATAACTGCTGTGTTGAGCTACTCATGCCGTCCGCAGCAGAGTTTTGTTCATCTCTTACTTTTTCCAATACTTTTTTTTTTATTTGGAAATTTGATTAACTATGTTCCATCTGCTAAATACTTTGGGGGAATGTGTCTACAAATTTTATATTCCCACTGACAACATTTAGGATTTTATTGTGTCTTCAAACAAAATGTACATCTCTGCTATGTCTTGTGCTACTAGAGCGGAATGCTGTTTCACTTTGAGACACATCGAGATTGTCGATTGGACAGTTGCTGACAACCCTTTAGGACTGCTTGACAGGTGGCGTCACATCAATTTGGTTAGTACCTCTAAAAGTACAGAATTTGGAACCTATCCCTTGAAAACCATGACAGCAATAGAAAGAAAGCTGCAGTTTAGGTGGGCCGACAACAGATTAGCAAAAGGTAAGAGTGAAATCCACACTAAATAAAATAGCTGCTAAAACACAACTCATCTTGTTTTTTTGTATTAACGCATACATGTGAAGGCCATGTTAGCTCCTATGTGCAAACACCCTGTTTTGTAGCCTGTAAGGTTATCAAGATGGAGAGTTCGAAGTGCAAATATTTCAGTACGCCCAATAAAAGCAAAATCCATTTTTTCCTTGATGGTTTCAAAAGGCATATCAAAATCTGTCAATTTTCAAAGAAAATCAGCATCCTTGTTGCAAACAGGGTGAGCATTAACAGGCTGCGCTATGATAAACTTCAGGGTTTGTTTATCATAAATTTGTTTTTAAAGTTTCACAAACAAATCTGTCAGTGTATTTCAGGATCATTAATAAAATACAGCTTAATAATAACACATACATAATACATAACCTATATTTAGCCAGACCCAGATCTTAAACCAGCCATCCAAGATGAATGCATATATATATAGCATAAATAGCAAATGGATAATCCAGATAATTACAAACACATGCAATAAAAAAAAAGCTACTGGCAGATTTCTCAGTATAATATTAAACAGCTAACGTACAACACTACCTGTTGAAAAACAAAAGGAGCGTTAAGGAAATGTGTTCAGCTTTAAAAAATTCAAAATGATCTTCCCCTCCCCCCCAGATAAAAAGTACTAAAGTGAAATATAATGTTACAGTTTATGTACACTTTATGGAATTACTATGAGTTTGCTAAGAGGTTTATATAGAAAAGTCTTTTGAAGTTATTGTATGTTTTGGATGAGAAAGCTTTTAAAATCTGACCTCATCTACCTTTAACCTACATGTTAAAAAATTAAGGCGACTGGAGCAAAACACGTAAAAGGTTAGTCTGCACTACAGTTAGCAGAAAAAACTAAACTTACCTAAACTTATTTTAAAGAAATATATAAATAAAGACATGGCTGAGCAGCATAGTTGAGTACCGGTACATGGATTATCCCCCTAAATTGCAAAATCTCCTCTTTCTTTAGTAATTATGTTGTTGATTCTTGTTTAGTAATTGCTTTTCTTCAAACAGATGATTAAAGGTGAAAGAAGCAGTTACTGGTCACCTATTAGGGGAAGAACTCTTGACAACCAAAAAGCACCTCCACCTCATACCATGCTCATAGTCACCAGCATGGTCACACACACAGTGGGGTAGCATCCCACTCCTCAACAAGCATATATGGCACATCAGCCACTGTGGTTGCTGGTCATTCAAACCTGAAGAGCAGATCCATGTGGACCACGTAAGCTTTCCAGCGGTGCTGAGGTCAGGACCGACTTCCTCTACATTCCCAAATCCTGGCTGTAATCCCCAATAAACCCTGCTCTGTCTGACATCTTGGATGATCAAGTTCTGTCCCTTAGAGTTGGGATGTGAAAATACAACTGGTTGCAGAACTCAACCTAACGTGCCTTTAGTGATGACAATCCTCAAGCCAAAGAGATGAGGCCTCACACCATCATACAGCCGCCGCCAAAAGCCTGTTAGAAATTGGCTGAGAGGATTTCTCATGGATGCAACCCACATACTTAACTCCGCTGCTCAACCTTCACCATTTAAGGGGAAACCAAACATCCTTTCCAACAGTAAAAACTGCCAAGAAGAACTGTTACAAGGCAGAAAAGAAAATCAAATAGAAATTATTTACGTTTCTTAAATAAAGACAGTAGATTAACACTAAAACCATCCTGGAAGTAAAGACTTTTTACAATTTTATTTAAACGTGAACATACCCTATGAATTATACTTAACTAAATAAAAGATTTAGAAACTGCAGTATATACATTTAAATCACTTGAATCAATGAACTAATGACAAAAAGTTTTAGCCAACCCTTTCAGTGAAAAGAAAGTCAGTTTGATGCATTCTCATCTATCCTAAATCCCAATGCACGTATTGTCACCTCAACCATCACACACCGCAATTTACATCTAAATGCACAGAAATGGACCAGAAAATTTACAATAAAGGATAAAGACATATGTCAGCAATGCATCCTTAAAGGTGCAGATGTGTGCATCCATAGCAGCTAAGGTTGGTGCGAAGAGGCAGGAAAACAGCAAAAGGACTTACTACTGGGCGCAGTCGATGAGTTGATATTCATTGGATCTTTCCCAGCATGCCCGCACACCTTCATCATGCCAGAGTGTCTTGGTGTGGTCATAAAACTCCTGGGAGAACAAAAAATGGGTCTGAATAAGCAACTTGAATAATGAAGCAAAAAAAAAAAAGACTTTTGACCTGGCAACATAAGTGTACAGTATATGAGTGATTTTAACTTCTAAGCAGCTAAGGGAACTAAAAAAAAAAAAAAAGAGGAGGAAACATGATATTACATACCAGGCACAAACAATTACAATCTATTCATTGTCAGTTCAATTCAGTTTATTTTATAGAGCCAATTCAAAACCCACAACAAGGAACTTCATGGAGACTATTTATTCAAATCAGAGAGACAGATCGGTTAAGAGTTTTCCATGAAAGGGAACCCAGCTGATTGCATCTAGTCATTGACTTTGCAGGATTTGCTCCTCCTGGATGAGCATGTGGCAACATTAGACGGTCGCTTGCATTGTGAAGTTCAACTAAAACAACATTACTCAGCAGCTACATCAAAAAATAAAATAACTCAGATAATCTGACAACATATCTCCATTTCCTGCTTTATATGAGAATAGGACCATTCTGGGTAAAAGTAGGCAAAACTACATCAAGTCTATAAGGGTTATAGTAAACTATAACCCAGCTGAGAAAAATAAGTGCATGGTTTAATATAAAAAGCAGTTGCAAACAGCTGGTTTGTGTAGTTTATGAGTTATGCTTATAACTGTATTTCTCATCTGCTCCTTTATAGGTGAGGGAGTTTATGGGCAGATGGCGGGAGCAAGATATACTCCCTAGCTAAGTTTGGAGTTTAAGGTCGGCTCGGAGATGAGCAGCAGATGAGAGGGCTCTGGCAGCGGCCGGAAAGAGAAAGGTTCATCGGGTTCATGAAGAAATGGGGAGCTTTGTGCTGACAAAAGGCTTGGCTGTCACTACAGAGGTCTATCTCTACGATCTGCCGTCGGTCAGTCGAGCAAAAATAAGCCATTATGAGCCATGCAGTTAAACAGTGGATTCTGCTAAGAAACCAAGACAAAAAAAAAAAAACGAAAACATTTAAGAAAGAAACGGATTTGAGAAATTAAAAAAAGGAAATCTGCCACAGAATCAGGGACAAGCGTAGTAGAGCACCCTTGTTTTCCTGAAACATATTTTTCAAAGACACTACCTGAAGAATAAAAAACAAAACAAAAAAAAAACAAAAGGGGTCTAATTGGGTTGTTTTTTTCATAATTGCATTGTATCCATTTGTTCTGAACATCATTGATGTAACAAAAAGGAAAATACATAGTAAAAGCAGTGCAAAAAAAACTATTTTGAGACGACTTTCACCAGTAAGTAGATGAGCTGAATCTCCAATTGAACCTATTTACATACATTGTGTACAAAGACCCAACAACTTCCTTCTCACTATCTGACATTAAATTTGAAGCCAAGTTTCCTTTTTTTAAGGATTTTTTTTTTTTGTGGATTTCTAAAAGTCTTTTTTAGGCCTTAGGTGCAATTTCTGGAAGCCTGAATTTGCCACATAGGTCTGCTATAACATCTAAATAAAACTATTAATTCAACTAAAATGTGCAGCCATCGTACTGAGCAGAAATTAAAAGGTTTTGCACGGATCAGCCTCATACCCAAAGTGAAAACCATGTGCAGATACTGTTTGAGGCTGCACCAGTATTCCTAGTAAACAGAGAGGAAGAACTCATCACTTAAGACAAAAAGTAAATACGTTTTTTTTTTTTTTTTTTTTCAAACAAATTTAACCAAATGAAATGAAAGGACCATCCAGCTGTCATGGTACTAGTCTCCCGTTAGGGTTTTGCTGAAGAATGACTGGAAACACAATGAAAGGGAATTTAACAAATACAGAATAAGCATGAAACGTTTAATCAAATAAATGTTTAGAAATTCTTTCTTGATTTTTTTTGTGTTATTATGGCACTAGTGGTTTGTTTTTTAGACAGTAGGCTAACAGGAAAGAGGGTATGAGAGAGGGGTAGAGACATGCGGCAAAGGATCACGGGTCAGATTCGAACCCAGCTCGGCCGCATCAAAGTTATACTCCCCGTAGCAGTGTGCCGCAGTGAGCTTGTCTCAGATTTTTTAGATTTATGCCCAATTTTGAAGCGTGGTCTGCGCTGTTATTCCACGCCACTACGCAAGAGGGACAATCATGAACTAGCTGTTGGTCTAGATACGGCCAAGGCGGTGAGGAAGTGGGGGCAAATTTGTGAGGGACATGAGGGCGAAAAGAGCGCGGATCCACGTGGAGAAATGGTCCCAGCGTTCATGGGCACCTCGCTCTTCTAGCAGGTCCATCTTCACGAGTCATTTTCCACAATGCCGGTCATACAAACAAAACAAGCTGGTAAGGTACCAAACAGGAAATACGCATAGTGTAGAGTGGATGTAGATTTGATTGATCAGAGGTCTCCGGTCTGCGGTCACCTACAGTGTTGGAGGGGTGCAGCAGAGTGTCTGCAGAAGGGCCGGGGGCACATTTGCGTTCACTGCGACACACTTGCAGACGACCTGGTTTAGTATAAATCAGCCCTAAGCCCTCCATACATGGGTCGTGCTACTGCGCCATCGGAGCACACCGTGAAATTATTTATTTTTAAACAAATAGAGATTGCCTTAAAGCAGCAAAAGTATAGTTCATTTACTTTCAGACCGCCATGAAGGTTAATTACGTGACTTTTAGGGTGGTGTTTGTAAATACCTGGTTTTAGTTGTGGATGTCAAAGCACAAGTACATTCTTATTGGTTGGGTTTCTAACAGCTGAGGGAAATTTGATTCATTTCGATCCCATTCATAGTCCAGTTTTCTGACCTATACAGAGTCTAGAACAGTGTTTGAACATAGATTGTGGTGCAGCCATGGGCATTTGACATCAATAGATTATCTTTTCTTCTGTCTTTCAAGCATTTTTTCCCTTCCTTTTTTCATCAGTTAACAAAAAAGCCCTGATCAGAGTCACTGAAAAAATTGTACCTCATATTGAAAACCTTATAAACACACACTGCATCAATTAACCCTTCTGTGACGATTTGAATGCTTGTCCTTTATTCTCAACCATTATGATTATTTTTTTCATTGTAAAAACTTGGGTGGTGGTATGGTTTTCTGACAGCTGAAAAATAACAGCAAATAAAGATAAAAATTATTCCTAATTGAAATAACATTCCTATAGCTTAGCTGCATTTTGTACAATGCATCATCTCTGCTGCACAGTACATAGCATCCCCCCTTATATGGAAGTTTCCATCTGCATGCGTCTATCCATGTAAGGATGCGCATATGCATGCATGTTTTTTTTTACTCCGTTATTTTTTTTTTTTTTTTTTTTTTTACTTTTTTTCACATGTCAATGATTCATCCATTGAAGATTTGAATGCTTTGGAGAGAAAAAAAAAGGTAAATAAGAGCATAAAGTCAGATTTATCCATTGCTTTAAGGCAGGCAGCTGCTTGGATTGCTCTGAATCATTAAGGATCAGCCATCTATTAAACACAGTGAGGAGATAAGGATGACAGCACAAATTAGATCAGATAAATGGTAAGGCTGGTAAACATGTATTAAGTGTAATATTTGACAACCATGAGCTTCAGAATAAACCAACAAAATAATCGTAGATATATATGCATTTCTGCTTCCGTTTATCAGTTTATAAAGAGTGATGTTCACACATACTCTTTGTAATATTTAAAGCAAGTTTTGCAAATGTTTTTGAATTATTACAGCAAATTGCAATTTTTTTCCAATAAGATTCTGTTGAAATATATATTATAGAGCTGCAACTAATCAATTTTGAAAATTGATTGATTTCTTTTTTTCGATTAATAGCCAAAGGTTCCTTAAAGACGATTCTGTACAACACTAAAACAGGTGAAAATAAAACTTTTCAACTTGAGGAGTTCTGGATAGAGCATACTGACAGACAAATTTTTTATTTTATTTTTTACCTTAAACGCAAACGGTTTTTACATTTTTTTAACAATTTTAATATAATTACTGCTCTAAATGGGTTTCTGTCAGCTAAAGGCATGTTTTTTTTACGGCCTCCATACCTCAGTTAACGATTAATTGATTACTAAATTAATTGATGATAATTTCAATAATCGATTAATCATGATTAAACTGATCGTTTCAGCACTAATACTAAAGCAATTAAAGATTGAAACATCTTGTTTAAACCAAAAAAAAATATTTTTCATTGTTCATTTAAAATAATAAAAATAACCAGAAGATCTGAAACTCTAAAACATAGAACGTCTTTAAAGGTACACTATGCAACCGGTATTGATTTTCCAGCGAGGCTCCCCCCAGAGGGCGAAAGTAAAAGTGCACTGTCGTAAATATGCACAGCTGT